TCACCTGCATGATTCTTACCTGTACGAATAAAAGAGTCACTTTAACTAACTAAATTATAGTAATTTCATGGCCAAGGGAAAAAACAAAACAAAACAAAACAAAAAAACCTGCCCCAGGACCCTGACCATGGCAAGACAATCCTACAAAAAGATAGCCTTTATGTCCAAAGGAAGGTGTAGATTTGTTGACACTAATATCTGTATGTTTCTGTCCCTGCAGCCTTAGGAAAATCCAAAGGTACAGTATCCTGTAGTAGTTACAAGGCCACATTCAAGCTCCTAAACTAAGCAACCTATGTCTTAGTGAGTTCTGTGAGAGAGTGAATGTGCCATGTTTGGTTGCTTGGCCTACTTATTTGAAGCTGTGTGCCTATCATTAAAGTAAACTCAGAGCCTGGAGGGACCGTAGGCATGAGCAGCCCCTTCTTTGTTGTGTAGACAAGCAGGTGTGGCCCGCAGCCCGTGCAGGCCCTGCAGAGGCTGCGACTTGGACAGGGTGCCCCAGCAGTGGTGGAGCTGGGATTGGACCCCAAGTTACAAAAAAAGGAGAAGGATTTGTATTTAGATATCTCCTGCGGTTGGTTCAGTGTTCTAGTTTGATGCTATCTCCCTGCCCCATCAATCTTGCCCTCGGGAGGAGCAAGTGTCCCCTGCTTCCTAGGTAGACCACATTCTGCTCTGAGAACAGCTTGGATTTTGCACCCGAGGAGCCTGGCAGTTCTGTCCTAGGGCCAGCTGGCTTTGGCAGAGGGTGGAAGCACAGCTGGGGAGTCCCAAGCTGCTGTGCGCATTCTGTTGCAGCCTTGCCACAGTGGGAGCACTGCTCTTGCCAAGCCTGGGCTGCAGGGGCTGTGTCTTAGCTGGCCCCGGCAGGCTGGGCACTGGGAGAGTTGCTGGCCATTCCCTGCCCGCCCGCTGCACATTGCTTCCCTGGTCCAGAAGGATGCTAAGCCTGCGCTGCTCTTCACCTAACACGGACCTGCTTGAATGTCTCTGCTTTTGGGGGAAGGGAGCCTGTCACCGTCACACATTCATCAAAAGGTGTCTTTGTGTCCCTCGCCAGCATGGGTGTGAGGGTCATGGACACATCTTGGGTGGCTCGAAGAGGCTCCTCGGCTGGCCGGAAGGCGTCATGTGCCCCACCCTCCATGCAGCCTCCTGCCCCGCCTGCCGAGCTAGCTGCACCTCTGCCATCACCCCTGCCGGAGCAGGTCCCTGACAGCCCCACAGCAGTGCTGCCCGCGCTTTCTCCAGCCGGAGGGGGCCTGCAGCCTGTGGCTGAACGCACCAGGTAAGCACTGGGCCTATGGTCCGGGGCGGGCTGGTTTGCCGCAAGTAGTGTGTGGGCTTGCTGCACCCCCAGAGTCTTTTTGGTTTGGTCCGCATACCTTACCCCACTTCCGAGCATTCATGTTCTGCTTTCTGCATCTTTCTGGCACCAGATCCGTCACCCACAGTCCCCTCAATTATTACCACGTATAATCCTGGCTTTATAAGGATCTCATCCCCAGGCAAATTTTTAAAGCAGTGTGAAGAAACTGAAATTCTCCAGCTCCCCTTGCCCTCCTTTCTATGCCTTTCTGATTTCCCTGTTGTGAAATTGAGAATTCCAGCATTTCTCTCCTCTACCTTTGGGTTTGTAGCAGTCACTTTTACTGCTAAAATGAATGCAGATCAGAGAAACAGTGGAGGTGACACGGTCACACTGGGCCTGGGGACCTTTGCAACACATCACATGCTGATGTACCCCCTCTTTTAGGGGAAGTTAGAAAAGAGAGGTACCAGGTTCGTTCCACTTTCTCTGGCTACAGCCTACAGGACCTGATCACTGCCCCTAAGGAGTTCATGTTCCAGTGAGCAAACGTCCCGGACAAATAGTCGCAGCCCTGGTCTGGAATACACAGGGGCCCAGGGGAAAGAGAGTGCACCTGGTGGGTGTGGTCAGAGCATGGGGACTCTGGAATTAAAAACTGCCCCATGAAACTGCTTTGTTGCTTGTTTCTCTCTATTCTCAAACAGCAGTTTAGAGAAGCACAAAAGCTAATTAAAATGAAGTGCTGCTCTGTCCTGTCAGGGGATAGGATGCCACAGGAGGAAGGTGTGGAGACTTTGGAAGCTGAACTTTTTAACTCAGACTTCCCCCAAACTCACTCTCTCTCTCTCTCCAATCCCCAAATGGGGGAATGCTCCTCTTCCTCCTCCTCCTCCTCCTTCTCCTCCTTCTTCTCCTCCCCCCTTCTTCCTCTTTCTCCTCTTTTTCCTTTTCCTCCTCCTCCCCTCTCTCTACTCCTCCTCCTCTTCCTTCTTCCTCTCTAATGAGCAGAAGATATTTTTCACAATGACAGAGTTCGGGACACAGACCTGACCCTGGGTGCTGGTGTTTTTGCTAAGGGCTCCAAGTCAGAGGGGACACCTGGAGGTCCCGCTGTGCCCCTGCTGGGCTTGAGAGATGCGCAAGAGGCCAGAGGGAGCTGGAGCTGAAGCAGAACCTTTCGGGACAGGCCAGACAGGCCGACCAGGGGGACATGTAGACAGGACACTGGCTGAGATAACCCCCTTAGGACATACACTGGCATCATTCTGACTTTCTGTTTTATCAAAGAGACTCTGAACCATATGCTGTTTGACATATAGATGATATTTATATAAAAACTAATAATGCCTCTTGAGGATGGAGTTCCCCAGGCTCTGAAGGCATTCCAGGAAGAATGTGGATGGACTGTAGTCATGGGCAGGGACTGTTGCCCACTGGTTCAGGTTATTTAAAAGGCCAGACACTTTGCAGCAGAGGCCTCTTTTCCCTGGACATCTGGTTCTGTAGCTTTACTTCAGATGTTAGTGCTTTCTTTTGTCCCGCTCTCCCCTGTTTCTCTTCCCATGTGGATCCCTCTGAGCACAAATGGGTGTTCCATTATTGTTTTCTGTTTCCTGGACACTTGCTGAATTTCCCTGAGGATAGCAGGCCCTCCCTCACCCCTCCCAGCCCCAGACCTTGCCTTTAGCTCCCTCCCTGCCAGGCTGATGGCTTTGTCCAGCCAGACGGTCACTCCACATCCAGCTCCATTGCTTGGCATTAACACTGACCCCAGGCACAGCTTCTTGCTCTTTGGCACCCAGCTTACTGACTGAGTCATGTGGCCCCAGAACTAACCCATCCTGTGCCCTGACCACTTTCATCTAGGGCCTCCCTGTAACTACCCTCCACCCCACCTCTCCCATTGAGTCTGCTGCACCTATGCTGGAGAGAGAAGAGCCAGGCTCAGTAGGTAAATACTTGTTTCTGTGCTGGGGAAAGTGCATCAGGTGGGAGGGAACAGAGAAAAGAGCCAGCCCCTTGATTCCTAGCTAGATACCTTGTCCACTACAGGAAGGAGGAAGAGTCTTGTGATTCCTTGGAAAGCAATTTTTTTCATTTGCTCATTTGGTGTTTTCCTTGGTTCATTGCTTTAACTTATTCTTGATAGTAGTAGAGATGGGTAGAAGGGGAAATAGATGTTTGACATGAATGCCTGGTGCCTGGTGACTTTGAGACTAAGGAAGGATGAAAGATGAGTCCTGGTCCAGCCTGAGAGACACAAGAGCTTTCTGCTTTTGCTTTTCATTAACGGAATAGGGAAAGGAATTTTGACTTTTCTGGTCCTTTTGAATAAAATGATTTTTTTCCCCTTGGAAAATTCCTCAGGTACAGAACTCATCCTACAAGGGAAAGCACCACCACCTTGAATGTGGCCAGTCTGCCTGCCTGCCTTCTTTCCTTCCTTACTTCCACCTTCCCTTCCTTTCCTTTTCCTTCCTACCTCCCTCCCTCCTTCCCCTGGGAAAAGTACTTGTGGTTGATGATGTTTCCTCTTCTAGCCCAGTTTTCTACTTCCAGGCTTCCTCCGTGTACCCCAGGGGGCCTGGGTGTATATTCTTTTGCTCTTTCCTCTAGAGTCACATTTGGAGTTCTGCATCAATTTAGGGAAGAAGTAGGCTGTGACTGCTTTTGTGAGGGAAGAAACAGCTCTTCAGACTCCCATCCTCATACCCTTTAAGGGCATCAGAACCCAGGGAAGATGACCCGGGAGGGCTGGGAGCACCTAACATCGGAGCATCTCCTGATTCCCTGGCTGTTGCCTGGAGCATTTTGCTGAAGGGACTGAAGGCCCATGGAGTATATGGGCATTGAGCACTGTCTTCCAGACATGGCATGTTGGCCCCTGGCAGGGAGTTGTGGACCTGCTGTGTATTTGTCACACCTGGTCTGTGCACTAGAGTTGAGTAGAGTGCGTCCTAACATGAACTTTATCCTTATCAGAGAGCCTGAGAAGGAGCCTTGCAGTAAGAGTGAATCCTCTGGTGATCTTACCTTGGCTGTCCCTTTGTCACTTCACAGCTCGTCTTTGTGACCCTCACCCCCTCCAAGCCTAAAGCCCTGGGACTTGAACTGACCCATACACAGGGGTTGCTGAGTTTGAGGATGGGTCCCAGAATACCTCCCTTTCCCCCTGCTTGGGGGTGTAATGGGGGATCCAGGTAGGCAGCCGGAACCCTACAGCCATGGGCTTGACAGCCTGAGGCTGAGTCATCAGCCTGCACTAGCCACACTGATCTGCAGAAGTTCTCTTGGCTCTGGTGTCCCGTGGAGATGGAAGGGACGAGAGTGTTTTGGTGCTCCAGTTTCAGAGCATCCTGCAGTTTCTGTGGTGACAGGATGCCGTGAGGAAGCTCAGCATCCCTGGCCTCACATCATTCAGGCCTGCTTGAGGGCCAAGATGTGAAGAGGGTGCTGGCAGTGAATGCCAGGTGCCACAGAACTGGGAGTGGAGCCAGCCACCAGAGCTCTAAGAAGGGACATTGGAGGGGGGCACCTTTGAAGGCTTTAATAAGGAAAGGAGACAGCTCGGAGCCTGGATAGAGTTGAGCATGACCCAGAAGACTTGTACTATCACAGTTGGCAAGCCTGGTGCTGAAGTTGACTGAGCTCGGCTTCTCTCTCGTCCTATGTGCTTGTGTTTCAGTACTTCTAAAAGCAAGGAATTGTCTCCAGGGTCTGGGCAGAAAGGAAGTCCAGGCTCTGGCCAGGGGACATCCTGTCCAGGGACACAACCGGGGACACAGCCAGGTAGCAGTCCCAGCCAGCCACCTGCAGACCAGAGTCCTCATACCCTCCGGAAAGGTGAGTCACCACTTCCTTTCACGACAGTCTCAGGCAAGCAGTGGCTGTTACGTTCCTGGAAACTCGTTGCCCTCACTAGCATGGACATTTAGAAATGAAACCATGTGGCTTAGTGAGCAATTCCCAGTCTAGCCATAAGAATTGTGAAGAGGTAAGCAACCTCAGTGGGAGTCGTTTCACCATTACTCTTCAGGTTGCACATCTGAAAATTTGGGCTCATGAGGGTATATGCACGAGGGTTTATGCTTTCCCTATGCCATATGGTTCTACCAGTGCAGAGGTCATCATCTGGAGTGGCATGTGTCCTCCATGCACTCGACAGGCCCTATCCTCACTATTTAAAAAACAGTGTGGGGTCATTGTCTACATGAGCTCCCTATCCCCAGTGCTGGCTGTCCTCAGCTATCCCCTCCCAGGATCCTTCCCATGAGGCGACAGAGAGGAGGGCATTGGGATTGTTTTCCACAAATCCAGACCTTCCATACTTCCGTTTTGGAATTGCTGAGCGTTGCTACTCTCACCTGTTGCTGCCCAGACAGAATTCTGCCACCGGAACAGGCTCAGTTACTCTTCTTGCTTCAGAGAATCACACTCCAAAGCTAGATACTCAGCATGGTCACATTTCATAAATGGAGAGCTGTGCTGAAATGTATCAAACTGGACCTTTTTGATTGATTTCCACCTCTGTCATCCCCCAGCAAGGCCTTTTCCTTGTCTAAAATCACATATCATTTCATTTGTTCTAAACTCAGGCCTTTCATCCCTCTAGGAGTGGCTTTAATTCCAGGATTGCTCAGATAGGGCCAGTTTGTCTCACTGATACAATACCTCCTGTGCAGGTCCCTTTCCAGCCTTCCTAGTTCCAGATGCACAATGATGCCTTTTCCTAGACTGTCCTCACTGGGCCCTTCGATCTGGCTTACTCCACACTCATGCCTTGTGCACCCTGCAAATGTTTAATGAGCCTGGCCATGAGCAGCACTCTGTGCTTTCCAGAGGGGCACAGCTATAATGCAAGGATGGTGCCACTGTGCCAGATGGTGCCACTCAGAAGTCAGGGCAGGTGGTCCAGAAAAAATGCATCTCAGAGGCTGAACGGGGAGTGGGCCAAAGCGAAGGTGGTAGGGTTCTGACGTTCTGAGGCTTTTCTTCAGCACCAGCAGGTTCCCTTGTAGACACTGTAGCTTTTTGGCATATCTCTGTTTACAACCCCTCCCCAGCCGTCCAAAGTAGGGGTGACGGCTAGCCGCTGTTTTGTCCAGGAGAGGCTGAATAGATCCTGTTGCAGTGAGTCAGCTTCCTAATACTAGTGACATGTTGACCCTCTTAGTTTTTGTGGCAATTTGAGTTTTTGAATCTCTGCAGGAAATGCAGCCTAAAATGGCTCAGGTACCTTTGTCAAGCGGCGCATTTAGCAACTCGGAGCTGTCATTTGAAAGGCATAACTTCCTTTTCCTTTCCTCATCATTGCCCACGCATGGCACTTTTAGCTTTTATTCTTTTGGCACTTGAGTTTTTTGCCTGTGTGCCCATAGTTTATCATGGCCTTGTCACTATCCAGAGGTGATATCATCACAGGCGTGGTGATCTCACTGCATCCTCCCTCTGTGGCTTATTGAGTAGAAGTCATGTTCTCAAGCACTGACACCAAGGGTCTGCACTTGCTTTGCATCCACGGGACCGACTCCTGGGTTGTTGACCAAGCACTGTCAAGAGCTATAATAGCAGCTGCTGGGAAACAGCCCATGCTCACCAAGTACAGGCAGGCAATGAAATTGGGGAATGAAGTGGTTTTGTCATGGATCATGACTATATACTACTTTCTGTACATGATGCCATTTAATTATTACAGTGTGCTAGATGAAATATTCTTCTTCCCATTGTATAGGAGATATTTTTAAAAAGATTTTAAGAAAGTTTAAAAAATTGCTTCAGGCATGCAGCAGGTAAGTGGCACAATAGAAATCTGAACCCAAGTTGGTAGGACTCAGAGGACTGTGTCCTTTTCGCATCCACAGTGCAGGCTGGCTGAGCCGAGGGAATACATGAGACATCCACAGAATAGGTTTTGTGCCGTGGGGAGCTGGGAGTGTACGGAGAGCAGAGATGGAGGAAGAGGCCCTGAGGCTTCCCTAAGGATTAAAGACGGTATCTTTCAGAATTAGTGGTAGGCACACCCAGCTGTCACTTATTTGGGACAGATTGATGATCATTTACTCAAGATGTTTGCCCATCAGTTGGATCTCTTGAATGTTTGCATTTGTGTTTTTGTATCAATTCATTGTCAATTCAAGGTAACCCGTGCTTACCATCCTTCGGAGGGAATGAGTACATAGACAGAAATGAAGGTCATGCAAAGGAGTCTGAGGCCATGACGTGCTTTTAAAAAGTGCAGTCAGGCTGGGGATGGAGCTCAGTGGTGGCGTACTTGCCTAGCATGTGTGAGGCTCTAGGTTACAACCCCAGTGCTACAAAAGGGGGCAGCAGGAGGTAAAGTCACAGTCAGTTGGCCTGTGCTTGTGCCCAAAAGGTACAATTCTTGAAAGAAAAACAGGGGAGAAAATGAGAGGCTGGGGAAGGAATGAGAAGGAAAGGGATGGAAGGCTGGTAGATACAACAGGTACCAAAGCCAACTGTTTGGGGTAGAGGGGGGAATAGTTCTAGCTCTCAGTGACACAGTTGCATAACTATAGTGTGTAGCAAATGATTACACATTTTGCAGTGACTAGAGAAAAAGAGTTGGAAAGTTTCCAGCACATAGAAATGATAATATTTGAAGAGATGGAAATGCTAATTACTGTGATTTGATTATTATGCATTGTATACATGTATTGAATTACAATATTATACCCCACACATCAGTATAAATATGTCAATTTTAAAAATTAAACAATAAAAAAAAAAGCCCGTGAAGCAAGTATGTAAGATTGAAGCGGAGAACATAAAGCAGCGAAGGCATGAGGTTTCTGTGACCAGAGGATCTGCTCACACACCACAGCTGGGAGCCAAATATCACTGGGCAGATGCAGCCAGACATCAGTTTCCTGTCTCCAGGACTCAGCCCTGGTTCAGGGGTCCACGGTGACAGCTTGAACTTGAATCATCCCGGCCTCACTCAGTCTCACAGTATGGCAATGATACCTTTTTCTACCAGGAAATACACCCACCCCTGTGGATAGAAGATTTGTTCTCCACTTTGGCTGGGTGTGTGTGTGTCTAGATTGTGGCAGGAATCCAGAAGAGAGGAGGAGAAATTAGCTAACAGATGGGAAGATATGAAAACTTGCAGTTCCAGATTCATTTTTAAATACTGTATTGGCTGCTTGCTACGTGGCAGGAGGTTGGGGGCAGGGAGATGCTGTGGGGAAATGGTGAGCTCTCATAACTGAAGGATGTGCTATTGGGCCTTACCGACAGCCCTCATTTAACGACCTCTGTTTTGCTGTGGTTGTGTTGTTTTCTCTTTCAGTTTCAAAGAAGCTTGCACCAATTCCACCCAAGGTCCCCTTTGGCCAGTCGGGGACTGTGACTGAGCAGTCCACTGGCCAGCCGTCCCCAGTCAGCCTGTCTCCAACTCCACCAAGCACCCCATCACCCTACGGACTCAGTTACCCTCCAGGGTACTCCTTGGCCTCAGGCCAGCTCTCCCCGGCAGCGGCTCCTCCTCTGGCCTCTCCCTCCATTTTCACAAGCACTTTAGCCAAATCTCGGCCCACCCCGAAGCCCCGGCAGAGGCCTACCCTGCCACCTCCTCAGCCTCCCACGGTCAGCCTCTCGGCCTCCAGCCCTCAGTCCACGGAGCACCCTATGCTGGATGGCATGTCCCCAGGGGAGAGCATGTCTACAGGTAACCAGTCCATGGGCTCTTGAGCTTTCCTCTGAACCTTAGCAACAGGTTCTGGGGGTGGGGGGACTGATAGCATCCCTCCAGTTCACAAATTCCCATTCACATGATGCCATGGGCTGCCTGCACAATGGTGTCTTGGGAAGCCACGGGTAGAAAGTGACCCTGGAATCACGTAGTGTGGGAGGGGAGATTTCTCATGGCTGCGGTCTGAGCCCACCAGCCAAGGATTGTTTCTGATCCTCATTTGGAAAATTAAGCACCCTTGGTCCTTTGGAGTTGGCCCTCAGGAGAAGGTGAAAGCTGCTTTTGATCACAGAACAGCTAGTGTCAAGCACAGATGAGATGTTGGGTTTGGGTTCCCCAGGACTGAGCCCAAGCAGCTAGCAGGTACAAAGGCTTACATGGAAAGAGGGGCTAAGCACCAAAGGTGTTTTTTTCTGCCTTGTATTAAAATATAGTGGTTCACAAACTCAATTCTCTCCACAGTTCTGGTCACAAAGTGAACCAGGAGAGAACAGAATCAAATTTTCCCCTAAAGTCACTATTGAACCTAACCATTGAATTTGATTTGGTTCTCATCCGACTTAGTTTGTAACCAGAATTTGTGCAAAGAAGTTATGAACTGAGCTGCCACTGTCTTACTAGAAAAATGTATTTCTAGTTACATATTTAGAGAAGGGTCATTTTCAGAAAAGATGTATATGTGCCTTGCTCCCTCTCCACCCTACCATGATTCCTCCAGCAATTAATTGGGCAAACCCACCACTACGTAAAAGGTTTGCTTTGGCCTGGTGTGGTAGTGCACACCTGTAATCTCAGCACTCGGGAGGCTGAGGCAGAGGAGGATCGCTGCGAGTTCAAGACCAGCCTGGGATACATAGTGAGTTCCAGGTCAGTCTCAACTACATAGTGAAACCCTGCCTCAAAAAACCAAAAAAAAAAAAAAAAGGTTTGCTTTAGATTAAAAAATAAAGATGGGGGCCGGGGATTTAGCTCAGCAGTTCGGTGGCCTGCCTTGCAAGCGCAAGGACCCGAGTTCAATCCCCGGTACCAAAAAAATAAAAAATAAATAAAAAAAATAAGGATGGAGCTGTCTTCTTCTAGGAAAATGGGTAAGCATGAAATCACACACAGACCACATTTAGCAAAAGTCCATTCGCTGGGGAAGAAACAGGACAGTTTTGAAGTATCTCCCAGACAGTTTGACCACAAAGATTATGAAGTCCAGGGCCAACTGATGGTGGGTGGTAAAGCCAGTTGGACATTTTCCTTATCCAAGGAGACAGGCAGAGTGCAGTGCTGCATCTTGGAGTAGAGCCAGACCATTTCAGCACAGGGCTCAGCCTGGGCACATCTGTTAAATGTTGTGCAAATAGTAGAGTGTGAAGCAGCTTGGGGTGGAATAAACACCCACACACACACACATACACACACACACACACACACATCCCATGTGTATACCAACATATACAACCCACACATCATACATATACACACCACATATATGCATACACCGATATACACATCGCACAAAGACCTTGCATAATCCACAGGTACATCTGTATCACCCCCACCTAGACCAAACATACACATATTATACATCTGTCACACACAGAACCCAGCAAACACATGGCACACATACATATACACCACACACATGTATATCACACAGGAAGATACACACACACACATATACACCATACATAAACCAGGTACCCAGAAGGTACAGCTAGATGATAACGTGTGCTTAGCATGCACAAGATCCTCAGTTCCATCACCAGCGCTGAAAACAAACAAAAACCAATCAAATCACATACCCACATAACATCAGTCTTATACTACATGGTAAATGTTGAAGTTTCTAAAAATGTATTATAATAAAAGACGCACTGCCATTAGTCCCCCTCAAAACACACTAATCCCATCGTTCTTGAAACTTTCTGAAGCAGCTCTGGAAGTCCTCTCTTGTGAGTGTCTTTGTGAGGTGTGCTCAGTGACGCGGTGAGTGCTGCTGCTGAGTGCCATCCAGTGGAGAGGCGGGCTGGTTAAATCATACAGTGCGTCCTCACCCATTTTATTCAACACATCTGGTACCCTGCGACTTCTGGCTGTTTGCGAAAGTCAAAATTACCACAAGAGATTAAACAGTTTGAATTGATTCAGGACATCAGGACAGCCATGACGGCACAACTATAGACACTGGTGAGAGAGAGCTTCCAGAAGACTTCAGAAGGTGGCAGGAATGCTGGGATAAGTGTTTGAAGCAAGGAGCTTTTGGGGGCAATTGATGGCAATGTGTTTTTAACTTCAGTAAAATTTTTAAATTTAAACATAGTTTTCAAACACATTGTGCATCAAAGAACAGTGCTGTGCTAGGTTCTGGGGTGCACTGGTTGTACCCTCACAGATATTGCCCTTTTCCCTCAATGTCCTCCAAAGTTAGATTTTCTTCCCTAGATGAGAAGGAAGCCAGGGGCCTGTGGGGTTTATCTTCTTGCTGCCAATAAAAATACTAGTCAAATTTACAAGTGTTTGTGATGGGTCAGGAGATTTCAATATTATGGAGAAGAGCCATCTGGTGATTTGGCTTCTCTGTTTTTGGATGTGATTAATGTTGAATGTGTAGCTACTGTCATCTTCTCTGAGGCTTATTGAACAATTAAGGACACTCCTTCCTGAGAAGTGACAGCACCACTATCTACTGGGAGTTCCCAGGGTGATGCACATATCCCGAGTGGGCTGCGGCCCAGGGGGTGGGTCTGCTGCTTCCGGGAGAGGCAACACCTGCCCTGGGCAGCTCTTAGCAAGGCTCTAGTACTGCACGTCCGCTGACTGTCCCTGCCTCCCAGGGTGGAGACACAAGTGGGGCCCATACTGTCAGCCACGGGATGAACAGAGAATGTCACTTGAAGAGGCAGAAAAGAACAGGAGGAGAAATTTGAGGGCAAGAGCGGGCAAGAGAAAGCAGGGAGACACAGCGCCCCTGTTGCTTCTGTGACAGAATGATTTGTTGCCTGTTGAGCAGGCTTTACAGTTTGCTGGCTGTCAGCCTTAATGACCTCCCTGGCCCTCCATCCCCTTTTGTTTCAATGTTCTCTTGGTGGCATACCACTGTTTGTCCACGTGTGCAGTTCTCTGAGCCACTGAGGAATCCGTAATGTTGTGGTGTGGCCTACTGGGGACTGAGACACTTGGCCCAGTGTTTTTGTTACGTTCATGTTTCGTGTTTATTCCTCTCTCCGAACCCTATCATTGTGTTCTTGCAGCTGTTTGACATGAGTGACGCAGTGTGGATACGTGTGAGGGGGATTTTCAGGGTAAGCTGGCCCCAGCCTCACCTCCCTCTACTCCCTGTAGCCAGCCAGGCCAGCTGCCCGAGCTGCCCGCCTGCCAGCCCCACAGCTCCCCGAGCAAGCTCCTCTGTGCATGTGGCTCAGACCAACCAACCGCATGGCTGCCCCGCCCTCACCAACCTTCCTCAACCTCAGCAAGGATGATCTGTCCTGGAGCTTATTTGGCCTTTTGATATCACAGGTCCTTTTCTTGTTTTCACTGGATTGGAGCTGGGGAGGAACCCAGCAAATGTCCTACCTCTTCTTTCCCACCTTCTCTCACCACAATCACCTGGTTTCAGCCCCCTCCCCCACCATTCCCCCAGATTAGAATTTGCAGGTAATAGATCTATTTTTTGTAGGGCAAATCTATTGGAAGCTTTTGTGTCCAATGCCCCAGGAATGTCCCCAGTACACCTTTGTTTAGGGATATGTAATCCCCATGAGAGAATTCACCTGGTGCAGCCCATACGGGGTCCACTACCGGAGGCTAGAGCTAAAACCGAGGCAAGAACAAGAAAGAAGCCAGAGGAATGAGCTATTTTGCCTCAGTAAGAAAGAAGGCCCATATTTAACTGGGGGTCTCCTCCCTCAGATTGGCATATTCTACTGAGACTAGTGACGGTGTGTGATGCCCATTGAAAGGTCTCCTAACAGATACTGTCAGAGCTGCCATGGAAAGTGAAATCACTCTTCCCCTTTTCTCAAGAATGCCGAGGAGGGCATCTCACCCCAAATCCCTTTTCCCTCTGGGGTCCCTTGTGTCTGTACTCCTAGTCACTCCCGTTATTCCCGTTGGACTACTGAAGCACAGGGTAGGTAAGAAGCTTGTCCAAGGCTGCAGTCTCACTGTGGGACAGGTCTGGACCCTGATAGGGAACATGAGTGGTTGGGCAGCCCCAGCTTGGCACAGCCTCACACGTATGCAGAGAGGAGGGAAGGGGCATAGATGTTCTTCCACGCTCGAGAGCCACCTGCTGGGAGCTGGTGAGAGCAGATAGCACTGCCTGAGCTGAGCCTCAGACTCCTCCCTTAAGCAGCAAATCGGAGACAGGCTGGAATGACATTTTGAGGACTGTCTGGGAGGAAGCGGGAGCGTCCATGTCTGCATAGTGTCTTTCAGGACATTGTCCAAGTGCATGTCTGTACATTCAGTACCATATTCCTCAGCCTGAACATTTGCTCTAAAAAAATAATAATAAAGCAAAAAACAAAATCTCATCTTCCCACTCTGGGCCAGAGCTAATTCCTTGAGGTTCACATTCTGTCACCTGGAGTATGGCTCCTGACCTAAATGATAAGCAAGGCTAAAGTGAAGTCCCGACACCTAAGCATGGGAAGTAGCATGACCACGAGTAAAAATATCGAGAAGATCCAGAACACCCAGCTCACCTGCAGCCGCCAGGGAGTGAACAAACGGCCTTCCAGGGCCCCGCTGGGCAGTGACTACAGCTCCAAGTATGGGCTTTGTCCTAAGCTGCTGGGTCCAAGGACTTCTGTCTTATCTTTGTCAACTCACAGATGTCCCAGATGCTGAGCTGTTTTACTTCTGGTACATTCCTCTTGCTCATCTCCCCAGGAAGAACGTCTTTTAAGTGCTCCTAATAAGGATGTGGTCAGAAGAGGGTGGTTTTCCTCCAAACAGCGAACCGAGGTTACTCCAGCTAGCAGCGGGGTCCCAAGGGAGACCCTCTAGCTCCATCTGCCATGTTTCACAGTGAGGACATTGCCTTAGGGCTCTTCCACTCATCCTCCTGTCTCACCAGACTCTGGGGGATTCTATGTAGTCTGAGATAGGTTCCCAAAAGATGTTACCGAGACTTGCCTAAGTGTCCTACTCACTGGGAGTCAAGTGCAGGGAATATCCTTTATCCCTCTGGGCTGACGTCCTCTCTGAACTGCTGCTGCAGAACCTGGAGACTTTGGTCCCTCCAGCCTTCACAGCAGCAGAGCACTACACCAACCTGGTGGTTCGGTGAGTGACCAATCTCTAGGTTGACTCAATCCTAGAAGGACCAATCCCCCACTTCCTAGCGCTAACCATTTGCCTACCATTAGCTTCTGAGCTGGAATCCCCCTTCACCTCCCTTTCTCTGCCATCTTGCAGATCTTGTCCACTTTGATATCCCCTCCATCCACATAGAGCTGGGATCGACACTGCGCCTCAGCCCCCTGGAGCACGCACGGCGACACTCGGTGACTGACAAGAGGGACTCAGAGGAGGAGTCCGAGAGCACTGCCCTCTGATGGGGCTCCCCGCCTGACACAAGTGTACATACAGACGCGGCCCCGGGGACACACCGCCAGGAGCGGCGTCCCTGAGCCTGCCAAGTATTCTCCATTGGCATTTCCTGTCGCTTCCAACACAAGGTTGGAGTTCGGCAGAAAATCGCCATCTCTGGTCCGTGTGGCAAATGTAGGTGGTGCAGATTTTGTTTGTTCCTTCTGGGTGGTGACTTTGGCCTTTTGTTTGACCTTTGCCTTTTGACTTTGTGCCTATTTCGATCCATTCTCAGCCTCCATGCCAAGCAGCACCCACCTCTCTGCCCAAGGGCTTGCTTGTCAGAAATGTCCTTAGTGGGGTAGGGGAACAGGAAAGGATGAAGCTACCGGGTCACACCTGAGGGATGCTGCCTTGACTGGGACAGCTGACTCTGGGCCTGCAGTCTCTTGTCTATAGGGCCAGAGAGGAAGCAGGTCAGCAGTCCATAGTCCACAGGTGGACCAGAGTTAGAATTCTGGAAGTGCTAGCACCGACATTTGCCTGCCGTGCAGGGGAGGGCCAGCCCATGGATAACCTTTTAGGGTTCCCTTAATCAGAGGGCTCCGGAGTAATTGGTTTCACTTACTAACAGTTCTGTCCCCTCCCCCCATGCGTGACTGAAAGCTCCTTTCACTCATCATTTTATACTTCTGAATTTAAGAGGATCTTGACCATGTCTGATGTGTCCAAAGTAGCGCCCCATGCCCCCCAACACATCAGACATCCAAGAGTAACTGCCTGTTCCTTCTGGAGGTTACAGTGAACTAGCAGTAACTGTTACCCAAAGCAGGCAGAGGACAGTGAAACCAGCCCAAGAAGACACTGGCCCCCGCGACTGGCCTGTGGCATAGCCTGCTTTGCTCACCAGCATCTGCGGCTCATCCCTTCTCAAGTCCCATCCAGTCCTGGGGAGGGACCAGGAGGCCCCGGGGAGCCTGTTTGCACTTTGGGCTTAAGGGAGTCAGAAACAGACCTGGGCCATGCATGCAAAGTCAAAGTTTAAAATTTTATCCTTTTAAAATAGATATAATATACCTATACATGATATAATATTTGTATATATGAAATCTCTCTATATTTGTTTAATTTGAGCCATTCAATCTAAATGAATGTACAGGTATACAATGAAAAACTTAAATGCTTAGTTATTTTTCCCAATACAGTGTAAAGCCACCCTTCTCTGAGAGTGGGATTTGTAGACTTTTGATGTTACAGCTTTGCTCACCTCCTGGCAAGGGCAGTTCACTCCCCACTTTGTAATGAAGCCCAGGGGTTGAAGGTTATCTTTAAATACATGTAAAAATCGTTGTCAAAAGTAATGTTATTAAAATAGATTTATTATCCCAAAGCTTGGCACATGTTCTTATTTTATTAAAGCTGTGGGGCAGTTCATGCTTCCCCATAATGCGTTAGGAGGAGGCTGATGGTCGCCCAGGAAAGGCCAAGTCCTTGCTCTGTGCCTTTTTCTTGTCACCTGGTTTTCCAAAGTCCTTCCCATGTTTTCCTAGGTAGAGAGAACATGCATATGCTAGATTCAACTTTGAAAATTCTTAGATTTCAAGCACTAACCTGTTTTTGAATCCTGCAAGGACAAGGGAGCCAGCCCAATGTGACATTTTCAGTGTTTCCAAAAGTAAAGAGTATCTCTCATTCTCTCAAGGGTAAGAGAGAATGAATTGAATGTGTTTAAGAGACTTGTGTTCCCTGATCCACTGCACTGGCCCAGCTCTCCCCAAATGTGACCTGGGCTTCAGTCAAGACTCAGCTATTAAGAGGTGGTGGCTTCCTGGGGAAAGACTCCAAAGATCCTCACTGCCACTGGAGCTTTCCTGGGCATCTGGCAGGCAAAAGACTGCTGTGAAGCAGTGCAAAGACCAAGTGAAAGAACTCAGAATTCCAAAATCAATCTTTATTGCAGCTGATTCTTTGGAAATACTAGTCAGTCTGGGACACTTAGACCCAACATTCCCTGTAACGGCTTATCTTTGAGGTGCACAGGAAACCACTTTGCTGCACAGGCAGAAAGTGTATCCCCTGTGTTTCCATGTGACTAAAAACTGACCTGCACTGGAATTATGGTTCTGTCTACCTTTTCCGTTACACAGCTTTCTGTCTTACTGAGTGCCAGGCACCAGTCATGGAGGTGTCTGAAGACTGGTGCTTACCAGGACACAGGACACAGCATGGCTCCACACTCCTATCACAAGAGGCCTCCTGGCTGGACCATCTTCTCTGGCTCCCACGAGGGTGAAGAGCACAGGGGCGGGTAGAGTGCGGAAGACAGCTTTCAGAGTTCAGGGTGGGGCCAGACCTTCACTAGGCTCTGGCCTTCTTGCTCTGTGGGCTGTGCGGCTCCGCCACTTGGGCTCGCTTCTGCAAGGGCTCCCTGTCTTTTGGGCTGCCGGCTGCCGCCTCAAGGAGTGCTGCACGTACCAGCCGAAGCTCTCGCTTCTCCTTGCGCTCCACCATCTCCTCAATGTCCTCAGCAAACAGGGCCTTCAAGGGGGGAATCAGCTTGGGCACTGTTGGAAAGTCTCCAAAGCAAACCTGGAAGGCCAAAAAGAGCACAGGGACGTGCCTCAGAGGGGCAGGATGGAGACAGCTCTGAGTGCCAAGACTTGTGCTTAGACTACAGGAGCTAACTCCTTACTCCCATACCCTTTGGCCAGCCCGCTGGCCACGCTCAAGAAAAAGAGAGCCACAGGGGAAGGAAGGATGAAGGGAAGAAGCCCTTCAACAAGGGGAAAGGACCACCCCTGTACCCCTACTAAGAGCAGCAAAACCAAAAGGGCTCAGGAAGGCTGAAGTAGTAGGCCTGGCTCTATCACCCGTGGGATGCGAGCACTTCTCACAGGCCTGTGCTGAGCTGGAGTGGCATGGCTATGGGAATGGTCCAGGCAGTGACACGCGGACCAACAGCTACAAGGCCCCTGTAGGAGGCACCGTCAGAGCCAGAGCAGCTGACGACGGGCAGAGTACTGGGGAAGGCCGAGAGGACTGAGCAGAAAAGGAAATGGGAGGAAGCAGGGCACCTCCCTCCCTCCGGGGTTCCCAACCCTCACAGCCATGACACAGACCTTCATGTGGTCGAAGGCAATTCCAACTTTGTCATTGAAGTCAGGGCTGAAGAGGGGGATCTTGGCATACCGCTGGCTGAAGTGGTTCAGCATGATAAAGCCAGAATTCATGCGCATCCCCACACCAATAGCTTGGGAGGTGGTGCTGTGGGAAAATGAGTGGCGCAGCGCCACTGAGCCACAGGGGAAGCCTCCAGTCTGGCCCTTCCACTGCCTCGGCACCCAGGGGAAGCTGCTGGATGTCCTAAACCCCTTTATGACCAGCCCTTCTCACACTCCTGAAGGACTCGTAGTCTGCTGGCTCTCAGCTCCATCAGGGAGCACATGTGAGGGAAAAACAAGTTTACTTGGGCCACGGCACTCTTTCCTTCCAACAGCCCAACAGTTACCACACCACCACCTACTGCTACATTCCTCGACATAACATAAGTTTATTTCAGCCTATCTCTCATTACCTCAAAACGCCACACCTCTCTGCAGAACCTTTCCTTGGGAAAGCCATGAAAACAGAGGCAGCAGCCCATGAGACCCAGCATTGGGCACAAAAGGTCCTCAAAGACCTCAGCAGGAAACCAGCTGGCCCCATGTCATGGAGGGCAGGCAGTCTCTCCTGGGGTGAACAGGAAGCGACTTGGGCTCCGCTGCATGGGAGGGACTGGGTGACATGGTAGACGAAGCAGCCTGTGCTACCTGTGTGTCTTCTCCACTGCTTCCCCCTCCAAGCCGTCCTCCAGAGTGGCTTCATGGATCAGCAGGGTGGCACCCTTCCCTGGGGAGAAAACCAGGCATGGAGGGAAAGACAGACTCTGGCAGAGCCGCACACGGCCAAGGATCCACAGCTGTGTCCTGACTCAGAAATGCTCCTTTAGCCCTGCAACGTATCTGTACCTAGGAGGACAGCCAGACTGTCGGGGGCACCAACTCTGACATCTGCACATGGCCCCGGCACACTCAACACATGCACTGCCAGCTGCACAAACCAGGTGACCCTGGCTGGGGTTCATTTCTCCATCTACTCACCGATCTGGACCAGAGCCTCACAGGGCATGGTGTCCCCCGAGTAGACCACTTTCCAGCCAGACGTGTGCACCAGTGCACAGCCAAAAGCATCCTTGCAGTGCCGGACCAGGCAGGTCTGAAACTGAAGGAGCAGAGCTGGAGGGTTCCTGCCTGCTATCTCTGCCCTCACCAGGTCGATGGCTGTGCTCTTACCTCTTTCAGGTCACATGTTTCCAACAGTGAACTGATCAGACTTTCAATGGGAGGATTAGAGACCTCTACCCTTTTCTGAAAGTATTTGGCAGGAATCATACTGTGAGAAGATGAAACATATAGAAATTATAATGAAAATTTTTTAAAAAATCATTTTTTTAAAAAAGTCATTTAGGGCTGGGGATGTAGCTCAGCGGTTCGGTGGCCTGCCATGCAAGTGCAAGGACCCGAGTTCAATCCCTGGTACCAAAAAAAAAAAAAAAGTCATTTAACACTTGGAGTCAAGATCTTTGGTGAGAGCCTCAAATCATTCTTAAGAAGAAACACAATTTAAATGATAGTCACTAAGACCAGGAAACCAAGAAAGTAAAAAGCCAAGTCACTTCCCATTCACTAAAGAAATGTTAACAGGCGAAGGCCTCCTTGGCTCAGGCTGTACAGGTCACAGCTGTCTCTGGCCAGGGGCTCCCTCCTTATGGCGTGGGGCAGTCTGCTGTCATCCAGCTGCCTGGAGTGGACAGGCCCCGAGCTAGCCACTGCCCGAGTGCCTGACCCTGAAACGATCTCATGGAGAAACGCTGGCCAAAGTCTAGGGAGAAGTACAGAGCGAAGTGAGGGCTGAGGAGAAATGCTTCAAAGCAGGCAAACACCAAGGGCAAGGCTGCCAGGGGTACTGTTAATTGCCCTCATATGAGCCTTGAGCTGATGGAGGAGGCACCAGTGAAGGACCGCAGCCTGGAACACTCACCTGATGTGGTGCAGAACCTCTTGGCACTGGTTGTGGTATTGCTGCAGCCATGGCCAGAGCTGGGTAGGGGCTACCACCAGCAAAGGGTAGAACGGCTGTCCCAGAGATGCCTGAAATAATGAGATCCGAATGCTGAGTCCACAGAGGAACATGTCAGTAAAAAAGAGTTTGGAGTGGCAGGAGGTTAGACTCATGATGTGTAAACCAGCCAGACTCAAAATGTCAGTGGAGTTCTGCGCTTACCAAAGCACGCTCTCTCTGCAGCAGAATATTCAGCAAACCCTGGGAAGGAAACAGGTGTGGGTCAGCCAGGTGCAAATTCAGTGTCTTCTCCCCTGTACGAGGGTTCTGTGTCTTATAGCAGTTCCTTGTTCTCTATAAACCACTAGAACTCTAGCATGGTCATGGTTGGGATGTGGCCCATGCTGACTCAGGAGTCTGAATCATCACAGGCAGAGAGCAACACAGTCCATGTTAGAAACAGACAGCAATAGCCTGGGACCCAGGAACCCCTAGGACTGACCAGGGGGCAGGCCTCCCAGCCACCCAACATATGTCAGATCAGTTCCTTCTGGGAGGCTGTGGAAAAGGCAAGATTCAAGAGTTAGGTGAAGCCAAATATGTGCTGTCATATACAAAAGCAAACAGGAGGAGAAGCCAGTTTTGCTTACTCTGGGGTTTTGCGAAAGACCTTTTCTTAATAAGGAATGAGCCGCAAAGGCTCCCAGAAAGACTGTAAACAGGAGGGAAGACAGCACCTCCCTGAAGGCTACTGCTCTGGCTCTGACCCGACACTCACCGTGTGGTGGTCTGCGTGGAGGTGGGATACAAACACAGCGGCAAGGGTGCCGAGGACCCTGTCCACTTGATCTCCATAGTGACGGCACAGCTGCCCAAATGTTCCTTCGCCACAGTCCAGGAGCAGAGACTTGTCAGGGCTATGGCAGAAGAGCGAGAGATTCACTGCAGTAGGAAAGGCTTCTGACAGCTCACAGAATGTTTGCTTTAGTGGAGAACAGGCAGAAGCTGTGGAAATTTCCACCTTCTACAACCTCTTGTACCTTCACTTTGAGAAGCTCATGTAAAAGCCAGCTAATTTAACCATAAAGTCAAGTCCATCCTCTCTCTAGAAAGCCAGTATGGGAAAAGCAAGCTGGCAATCACTCCTGCATTTCTCAGTCATAAGAAAAACACTGTACTGCCTAGAGGTGCAAATATCTGATCACAGGGTTCATCCTATTGCTGTGTACCGTTCCTGCATTATTTGGTCGTTACTTAATCCATCACTAGCATATATGGTGACAAAGTGAAATTTAAACTAACTTGGTATTTCAGTCTTCCTTCCTATTTGCAGAGAAAATCTGTACATTTTATAATGCCTCTGATGAATCTCTCTGCAGAAAGGTGACCCCAACCAAAACCAGCAATCAACTAAAAATATGTTAAGGAATCCAATAAAGTGGATGAACATAATGTACAAAACCCAAAAGCTTTTTAACACACCAGCAATATGGAGTCAAAGGGGAAATATAATGTAGCAGTTAAGATACCAGTTCAGATTTCACACTTGCTACTTATAATGTGCCATGCATCTAGAGAGTAAGGAATCTCTCTGAGCTTCAGTTTTCTAATCTATAAAATGGTTAATTCTTTACCACTTCATAGAACTAGTGGGAAAATGAAGTGAGAATTTCTTAGCAAAGACAAAGCAGACAGTAGTATTAGCTCTTTTTTTTTCCTAAAAGTCATAATGAGATAAGTTTTACAGATTTGCAGAAGGAAATGTTAACTTGAGGATATAGAGGGGAATAAAACTCATCACTCCTCTTCAGGGACACTCTGAGATGACAAGTTCACCCAGCTTTATACTGTTGTGTTTTCTAATGAGCTTAGTGAATGGAGCAGAACTGTTGTTTAAGAAACTTTTGTTTAAAAGTGTGCTCTCTGCCAGGTGGAGGTTTTCTGGTAAAGCAGGCCTACCTTATGTTGATGAGCGTGGAACTGACATTCCGAATCTTCATAGGGACGGCAGACCCTGTTCCAAGGAAGACAATTTCTGGATACTGGCTTTTTTTCTCTGTGGAAATACATGTACAGTAGTTCACTTCTCTAAGTCAGTAAGTCAAAAATAAGTCAACATGTATTTTTTCAAACAGAAGTTCTGCTACACCGACCAAGCCAATATGAAAACACAACTACATAAAGCCCTAGGAGCTTGTCATCTTAGCCAGGTGTCCTGGGGAAGGAGAAGTGGGCCTTATTCCCTTTTATAACCTTAATAGTGAACCAGCATTTAGCCATCAGAAGTAAGCAATACAGTTAAGCCCAGGTTTCCAGCAGGGGCACTGGTGGACCTTTGCCCTCCACCTTCCCAAGAAGGGTTTCCTCATCAGTGCAAGACCAACAAGCTGTTTGTGAGGAAAGGGTCATATTGGCAAGGAGAACAAATACATTTTATAGTCCCTTCTTTAAAATACATTGCTGTAACCTGGTATGGTGGTGCATACCTGTCATTCCACCACTTGAGCAATGAAGGATCATGAGTTCAAGGCCAACCTGTGCCACTCAGCAAGTTTAAGGTGCATAGGACCAGGTGTCCACAGAGAAAGGAAGAGGCAGAGCCAGGAGTCAAATCCATAGAGGCTGACTGACCCCAGTGTCCCTTTCTCAGTGGCATCTGGCCTTGTGTATGTTTGCAAGGATCCCTGCACCAATCCTGCACAGAAGGGAAGGGAACCCGTGGGAAGTCAGTCTCCCCAAAACACACATGGGCCAAGGCAACAAAGGTCTGCCCATCTCTGTGGCTTGCCTGCTACTGACCACAGAGAAAGGCAAATGTGCAAAATCATTTGGCTAAATTAAAACCCCTAACCCTCCTGGCATTCTCTTTGGATATCACTGGTTAAAGATAACGCTGGACAGCCGGGGATTTAGCTCAGTGGTGCCGCCACCTGCCTCACAAATGCAAGGTTCTGAGTTCAATCCCTGATACCAAAAACAGTAACACTAGAAAAACCAGTAAGCACAGAGGTCACAAAATTCACTAACTACTATTCCTAGTGGGGTGAGGAAAACCCAATGAAGGGACTGACGTGGCCTGTTATGCCATGCACACTTATTAGCAGACTCAGGACCGGAGCTCAAGTCAGCACAGGCTACATTCAAAGCTCTCCACTGGATCTCAGAGGACCCACAAACTGCTTCACAGCACATGTGCCTTGTGAAGAACGCCTGGACACCACTGCAAAATTGGTCTTGGGTGGGTGCAGGCATTTGGGAGTCTCAAACTCCACCTCACCCCAAAGGCTGTAACTAATGCAGGGACCGAGTTGAGCAGTCCTGGATTACATAAATAAACGAGGTTAGAATTTGCTCTGTGAATAACCTGCTCAATACACTGAGGTCCAGAGCAGGTGGCATAATCAAAGAAGAGAGGTTTCCCACTCACCTGTGGGCACTGGGGCATCCTGTACACTCTTCCTGTACTCCTGCACACTCTCCTGGAAATTGGGGAGCTCCAGGGCCTCAGCTATGAATTCATTAGGGTGGCAAGAAATAATGGCATCCCTGTGGAGAGAGGGGCATTTCAAATGACCAAAGTTGGGTGTGAGGCCTCAGCAAGTGCTGGTTTGGATGTCCAGCATCAATCCAAGGGGACCATGTACACAGCCTTCCTTCAGATCAAGCCTGGCTGCCTCTAGAACCTTCCTCAGCTAAATGGGGTATCTCAGAATGCGTTCTGAACAGATTGAGCTCTTCACAGCATCTCTCAGCCTCAAAGGCTGACAACTGGGCACTACTGATGGTAAGGGCCAGATGAGTATTTGTGGTGGGAGCTGTCCTCTCCTGACTGCTACCTCATCCCACACTGCGATGGCCAAAAACGGCTCCAGACAGCACCAAGTGGCCTCAGCTGAGAAGAAGGGCCCTGCAGAGTACCCAGAGCTAACTCTTGGGAACGTTGGCAAAATACAGAACCAATTCAAGAGTTCTGGAAGCGGCTTGAGAACCCCCTGTTGGATATAATGCTGGCACTGCTGGTCTCACTACACAGAACAGCAATACTTTGGACTGTTGGCTCTTAAAATCACCCGGAAGCTAAGAGGTAAGACCCAAGCCAACTGTCAAGATCCTATTTCAACAGGTCTGGCACAGGCCCCCAAAACTGTAAGTCTCCCAAGCACAGGTGTAACAGCCTGGCAGGTGCTGACAACGGAAGAGTAGGCCCTTCACCCTGTGGGCCCGGTCACCCTACCATGGAGGCTTTTTAGAGACCCTAACAGACTGCAACCCCATACCATGCCCAGCCGTAACCCAGATCATGGTCTCGCCTCACAATGACACTGCAGTGGCCAGGAAACTGAAATGACTCCAGATTCAGGGCTCAAAATGTAAAATAAGACCATGGGGCAGTGAGCACTTTTTCGTGTGCTGGCTGGAGAATACTATCAAGACTCTCTAGATGGCAATTTATAGTTACCAGGACCTGGAGAACTGTCACACTCTATCTGGTAATCCCACATTTATAAATTACCTCCAGAGACAGGGTTCTATTCTAAGATTTATACAAAAGATACTTATTTCTTCATTAAGACAGCAAAAATTGGACATATCCTAAATGATTAGCTATCTGAAATACCAATAAAGTTCCCTGTTACTAGAGACTGTTTAATGATGTATGAAAAGACTGACAAAAACTAAGCCATAAGCCCACATAACACATATTTTAAATTCATCCTCATATACATACATTTTAAAATTGAAATGTTAAGTCACTCTACGTGACAGGATGATGGGTGACTTCCTTCAGCATGCATTTCCTATTTTCTGTATTGTAAAAGAATCATCACTATCACTGTTACCATGGAAAAGTTTCTGAAAAGGATAATTAGCGGCCCCAACTTTACCCACTGCATTGGTTCAGAATGGCACGAACCTCTGCCACCCCCTCCTGGGACGGAGCTGGTACTTGAGGAGGCATTCACCCCGGACAGTGGGCACACTGAGGGCCAGGCCTTCCTCCTGAAAGAGATGAGAATATACTCAATAGCACCAATAGGACAGGACCCGGGAGGGCGGGAGCTGTTCTGGGACACTACCTTCCTGTGGAAACTGGTGAGCAAGGGGAAGATGTGTGGGTGGATGAGGTTGAGCTGCGTTTGAATCTTGTGGCTGCGATGGTTGTGGACTGATGCACAGTTCTCATTCAGGATCAAGTGCTGGGTGTCAGGCCCAAACCTAAGTTGAAACCAACCGTATAGTGCACACATTAGGGACCAAGTTTACCCGAAGGGCAGCGCTGGAGATCAGAAGCCCTAACAAGTATGCAAAGAGATCCCTCGCCTGCCCCAAGTAGTGAGTACATGGCCAGGCATAATTCTGCTTCTTCTGCCTCAAGGTCCAGGGTTCTCGCCTTACTATGGCTGCCCCTCGGGTGTGCTGGAACGAGTGGTGGAACCCTCCCACCAAATTAAGATGTTCAGATAAGGATCTGAGGACAACATGGAGTGCGGGATGCCAGAAGAAAAGTCGTAAGAGAAAAACAGATCATGCTGGGCCAGGGATTTAGCTCAGTGGTTCTGCTGCCTGCCTCGCAATCACAGGATCCGAATTCGATCCCCGGTACGAAAAACAAAACAAAACAAAACAGATCATGTTATGAATCAGACCATCGAAGAATAAAAGATGAAGAGCACCGAAGAGCAGGAAACATCAGGGCCAAGAAGACAGAGACAAGTAGCTATGTAGGTAGGGAGGAGCAAGGGGGTGCTGAGAAGCAATCTGAGGACAACACAGACATACTCTTCCCCTAGGTGCTTGATGTCTTCCCTCAGGAAGCCTTGAGGACAGACTGCAGGGCTCCTCCCAGTTACTACACTATGGCAGAACATCTACCTCACAGACCTGCTGAGAACAACCAGACAGTGAAATGTAAAGTATGTAAACACACTAGCTGACATACAGTGGGCACTCAATAAACAGAAGCTATTATTTTGTATTCACAAGTCTCTTACTTAGGATATGCATGTGGAATCATCAACTAAAAGACAGCCCTGAGAGTATGAATGATGTGAAATCAAGGCCTGCACAAGTGGGATGCATGTATACACCACGCCACCTAGCTGTGGTTCCTCTGATACAGGCGCTTCCAGAAATCATAAGGCAGGATTCCCAGAGAAAACTGTAGGCCAAGTGCAGAAGTGAGTGAGGGTAGATAGCATGTAACGGTGAGGGGCTAGGCTACATGACCACCACCCAGAAGAGTTTGCTAGGCTGGGCTCCATACCTCTCCATCCACTGCTGGTACCTGCTGTCCATAAGCACAGATTCTGGGGCCATGTGAACCACCACGGCCACGGGGCCATTAGCATCTCCTTGATACCTAGATGATGGAAAACAAATGGGGCTCTGCTTTAAGAAGTGACCCCAACTCAGGACACATATGTACACACGAGGACTGTGCCACAAAGTGCTGTGCCCTGGGAGAAAACTTAGGACACAGATACACACGTTAGATTCTACCCTGGATTAAACCTTAACCACAAAACTGGCTAACTTTTCCAAAGGACAAAACACAATGGCACTCAGGCACAGAGGCTGTTCCTAGGCTGCAATTCTGTCCCTTAACACAAACCCTTGACCCACAGTCTCACACACTATTCCCCCACCTCGTTAGGTTCAGTGTTGGTGAGTGAAGACACTCATGTGGGCAGAAAAAAATCCAAATAATGATGTTAATTAGTAATTAGAACTCAAAGATGGTTCTAGAATATATTCTAGACCTAGAACTTTAAGAATTCTAGTTAATGTTCTAATCCTCAGTGGTTTTACTTCTCCATCTTCTCTATTTTACTTCAAGGCTGTGTATTACTAACCAGCAGTGATATAAATCCTGCCAATAGGACAGACACACACTTCACACCCAGACCACAGGCTTCCAGAGACTTGGGGCCCATGATACACTAGGTTTCCTAAGCACATTTGGGCATGACTTCTGCACCCACAGACCCCACATCATTACCTTTTAAAGGTGACATTGTCACAAATGGGCTGGATGAATCCTTCATCTGGGCATTCTACCACAATAAATGCAAGACCAGGATCCGGGGGGGTGCAGAGCTCTTCAGGCAAAATCTGCAAAATCAAATAGGCCGGCTCACTGGGCCGTCAGTGCCCTCCCTAACTGAATGGCCGTCAAGACAGCTGTGGACATTACACAGCCTGTGTCCAAGAAGACAAAACTGAAAACTCACTTGAAAGGTATCACCTGCACCCTTCCTGCTCTCTGTCTATACTTAAAAACACAGAAATTTAGCTCAGTGGGACATTTCAAAGGTAGAGTGGCTAGAAAGCAAAGCGTGGTGTTCAAGACTGCAGTCATTGATCCTCACAGCCTGAGACACTAGATAAAAACCTTGGTGAAGAATAGTGGCAAGGCTAGAGATGTAGCTCAGTGGCACAGCAACTGCCTGGCAAGTATGAGGTCCGATTCCCAGTATGGAGAAGGAAAAAAACAAAAAACAGTGCAAACACTGGATTTAGTGGTACACACCTACTATAAACCCAGCATTCCAGGAGGCTGAGGCAAGAAGATGACAAGTTCAAATTCAAGCCCAGCCTAGGTAACTTAAAGGCTCTGTCTCAAAATAAATTTAGCTCCAAGTTTAATCCACAGTACCAAAAAAAAAAAAAAAAAAACAACAACAACAACAAAAAAACCCAAAACCCCACAGTGCCATTCTTTTGGGCTAACACTGAAAGCTTCTCTGTACGGGGTGTTTTTAGATACTGCCCTGATCTCCAGTACAAAGAAAATGATCCATGCTTGTAGGAAGACCACCAGATACTGAACAATCTACAGAAATGCCAAACACAGCAATCTAGGTAAGAGCTCCAAGCTCTCCTGCTCCCTGCAAAAGTGGGCCTGAGCTCCTCGTAAGTGCTGAGTCGCCGTGGAGAGCTGGTGCCTCACCTCTCTTCCTTCATACGTGATACTCTTCCCATCCTTGACAGCAGCGATGATGGGCGCGATGGCGGGCGTCCCACTGAAATGAAGATGCAAGACCCTTGTCAGATGCCTTCTCTTTATAAGCAGTAGGGACCTGTGAGTTCCCAACAGCCTCAGCCCTGACACTCACACTGGGAGGCCCAGTTCCTTTGCTTTGAGCACCAAGAAGTTTCCTTTCTTCAAGTGAAGCTGTAACAGAGAAAACTCAGATGTAATTTCAGTGACTGGTGAAGAAGTTTGGTTTTAGTCAACTTTCTTAGAAGTGTATTTTTCTGTTTTTTTAATTTAATGTTATTTTCTTACAATTAAAATGCAATTCATTGTTTCCGTAATGTATATAATTTTCTGAAGGAACCTGAATAATTTAAAAGTGATTTGTTGCCGAACATTAACTCTTTAGAATACAACAAATTCTGCTGGGCATGGTGGCACACACTTGTAATCCCAGCACTGGGGAGGCTGAGGTAGGAAGGATTACTGTAATTTTGAGGCCAGCCTGCGACACATAGTGAATTGAAGACCAGCCTAAACTACATAGCGAGGCCCTGACTCAAAAAAACAAACATATACATAAAATTTTATGCTTTTTTCCATATCAAAATTGTTTTATCATTCTATATTCATCCATTAACAGCTAAGGAATACAACTAAAACATTGTTTAACATGGCAATGACAAAGCAAACTGCTGTGTGACACAATATTCCATAACAGTGATACAGTAACAAGAACAGATGGGTTTTTTTCCAAGTTTTTTGTTTGTTCGTTTTTGCTGTACCAGGGATTGAACTCAGGACCTTGCGCTTGCCAGGAAGGCGCAGCACCAGTGAGCTAAATCTTCAGCTCTAGATGGGGTGATTTTTAACCTCCTACATTTTTCAAATATTTGGCAATATAATGTCGCTTTTCTACTGGAGATAAATTATAATAACAAATTCCCAACATGCTCTTTTGTTAGGTAAACAATAATCCCATCACAAAGTCTCATAATCATTCTGTACTTCTGCTGAAATATTTTTAGGGTCTACATATTTCACATACAACCGAAAAGTCAAAATTAAGATGTTAACAGATCTTTGCGAAATCATATTTGATCTTCATTTTCTTCTTTAAATCTGGATAAAGTATTTGTGATCAGTTTTAAATTTCTGAAGATAAAAAATTACTCTTAAAACAAAGTCTCAAATCTGGATGCCAAAGTCTCACTCTCAGGATTCTAGAATCCTCCTTCCATCTTGAAAAATACTGTCCTAGAGGAAGGACAAAGATCACCTACAGGACTGCAGCTTCACTGTATGCATGGCACATAAGAGGCTGAGTCCAGCTGACATCTTTGGATGACATTAACAAGCACTACAGCAAACAAGCATTCTCTGCACAAGACTCAAGTGGGTCTGAGGATGGAAACTAAGGGTTTCTAATGTTAAAAGGAACCTGCACACCTCAGCAAGCTGCCCTCGACCTGCACAGACCTGTTCCCTGTATGAGGAAAGCAGACAATGCAGAAGACAGATGAAACTACACAAGCCAACAAGAGCTGCAAGCCATTCAAGAGCAACCGAAACCACACACTGTTCTCTCACATGTGGTTTCTCAGCCCTTGTGCCCACAGCTTTTCTCTGCCCAGGATTTGAACTAGCTCAGTGCACTGATTTGCAAACACTGGCTGCAAAGCAGCAAATTAACTACAAGGGGAAGAAGGGATATTGCTGACCCTGTGAGAACAGCCCTCAGAAAGGGCACCGGACAGCAAGGGAGGAGAAAAGCCACGGCGAGCAGCCTGCAGCTACTTAGTATCAGGGCCTACATCACCTGAACCACTGCCTGAGGACCATGGAATGGCTAGAGTGTGAAAAGCATCTAACAATTTAAAGATTGCCATATGAAATAGTTTAAAAAATTACCTTGGAGTCTAAATACTCACACAAGTAACACCTACTGACAACAGTACTTAACTTCTATAAAAGTTACAGTTGTCAAATACTGCCAATGAGTCAGTAATTAAATTCCAAATACACTTTAAAATCAACATTACTTTAACCCCCCCAAAAAAATCAAAGCCCACAAAAAAAAAGTAGAGTAGTCCTACCATAAATTAGACAAAAACATTTCACAGAGGTTGTAAAACAAAATTATAAAGTCCCTACTAAAAGAAGTAGGCCATTAGTCAGTTTTTAAAAATAGTTTACTGGAATAAAAATCTCCCGACCTACCCAGTACTTGGAGTTGAATCCACAGCCTTTGCACTAAGCTACATCGCCATCCCTTTTTATTTTCTGAGACAGGGTCTCACTAAATTACTAAGTTGATCAGGCTGAACCTAGAGTGGTGAGACTAAGCTATACATCACCATACCTGAATGGGTTTAATAAAAATTCTTAATAGAATCTGACCTATTTCAGACTGTAGATCTAGAACTTTGCAAATGCTAGTAAATCTGATGTCAATACCTTAATTACTACAGTGAAATGAAATAAACTAGACAAAACTGAGGTAGTCTGCATAAAAGCCTGACTGGGAGGCAAACAGACATAGCTGCCTGTAACTCTGAATTCCCAGAGATCCAATCATAGGCAAATATAAAATGCATATGTAGACGGACAGAACACTGGAAGAAACACCATGGTTAAAGGGAGCTAAAAATAAGTGGTATTTTGAGAAATGGAGTTTTTGTATTTCTTCTTAGACAAGGTAACTTAGGAGCTATTATCTTCATATTACTGCAAAAGTGGCTGGGGATTTAGCTCAGTGGTGCCGGCGCCTGCCTCGCAAGCACAGGGTCCTGAGTTCGATCCCCAGTACCAAAAAAAAAAAAAAGCTTACCACAAAAGGGTTTCCTAAATGTTCCAAACTATAGCAACACCCCAGCTACCTGCCATATGCTTATTTACAGCATGAGTCTGGAAAGACACTCTTACCTTACATACAAAAGCAACAACCAAGGAAGGGTCCCTTCCTCTTCTTTTCAGGCTAACACCTGAGGGAAACACAGTTGATTACAACAAGCTGTTGGCTCTACAGGTTTCACAAATTCACACCACTTGATACCTATATAAATTAAACAGACATTACCATCCCAACCCAAAGGTGGAAGGAGATCCTGATATTCCTCAGCAGGTCAGTTCTCTTTTTATCCTGCCTATGTTGAGTAAATGAAAAGTGCAAAATTTCAGCCAGAAAAAATAACTCTTTGTAAGTGACCCATTTTACCTAACCACTGTTAAGACAGAAGCTAGAAGGGCTGCAGGAAGAACACAGATGACAAGTCTTCAGCCTGTGCTGGCCAATAAAGGATGTCACTGGGCTAGGGATTTTGCTCAGTGGCACTGCGCCTGCCTCACAAGTGCAAGGTCCTGAGTTCAAGCTCTGGTACCACACACACACACACACACACACACACACACACAAAGAATGTCACTGAAGGGCTGTCCTTGCTTTGTCATCAGACCAGACACCCTCAGGGTAAGAGGACCCAAGTGAGCTCTGCCTGACACTGGACAACAACCCTTTGAGCAGCCCAGTTCTGCGGCTACATCTGGGATTGGACTTTTAACTGTTTCCCAGTAGGATGTCATTCTGAAAGATAAGGTCCGTATCCACTCACTGATCGATGGTTGTGTCAGCTTCTGCATTACTGAAAAACTAACTTGTATAAACATGTCAGTAGTTCCTGAAAAACATAAAGGCCTTCTGTAGGATTGAGTTTGCCAGGCTCTGCTTTCCTCTGGGTAAACTGAACACATGTTTTGGGATTACCCAGGGCCTTCAAAGCTCGGTACTGTCAACTTTCTGACAACTATTCTCACTCTCCCCAGGCCAAGATATCATGCGCCATGGAAAAAGCATCTACACACATAGAACAGCATTAAAAGGCAAAGAATTGCCATTTGTGACACCAAGGATAAAACTGAAAGTCACAATGTTAACTGAAGTAAGCCAGGCACAGGAAGACAAATTCTGTATGATCTTACCAATATGTGGAATTTTAAAATGCTGATGTTTTAAAAACAGAATAAAAAGGGGACCAGAAAGCCATGGGTTGTGGCACATGCTTATAAATCCCAGCACTTGGAAGGATGAAGCAGGAGAATCCTTGTGAGTTTTAAGGCCAGGCCAGCCTAGGTCTTGAATTACATAGTGAGATCCTGCCTCCAAAAAAAAAAAAGATGACCAAAAGCTGGAGTAAGGGAGAGTGATGGACAAAGTGGAGATGTTGCTTAAAGTGTTCAAAGTTTCAGTCCTTCCTTAAATGCAAAAATATGAATTGGTGAGGTGACAGCTAAATTAACTAGCTTGATCAGTCTTTCTACACAGATCAAAACATTTCTTTGCACCCCTCAAGTATAAAGAAATTAATCTTGAACAAGGGCAAAGCATAAAGAAATGCAAGTTACCTTTCCAGCAGGGTTTGTTTACACCATTGCCATCTAGAAGGTGCTGCTCATTTTTGGCTGATCCAGAGTTAGAAGGCTGTTCTGGGCTGAGCCTGTGGAGGGACCTTTCCGGGCTCTGTGCTGGCTGGTGCTGCTCTCCACGCCCCTGTTCACCTAGGTAGCACAGGAAACCATCAAATTACACACCACATGAGGGAAGCTCACTGCCACAGGCCAGATGGTCGCATGCAGGAACTCTAGAACACCAAACAAACCAGCATAGTTTACTGTAGCGGTGGCTCACTTTCTACTATTGTTTGTGCCTCACTCATCTGTTTCTGCTTGGCTCAGAGCCTTGCCCACAGTGAGGATTCAACAGTGTTGGCTGTCAGAAAAGCAAGCAGGCTGAAAACTGGTTCATTCATTCATTACCATCACTCTCAGAAAACAAACAGGTCAAAAGGGTACCTATCTCCACACAAAGAGGCATCCTGGGGCAGTGAGTCACAAAGTCAAGCTGCAAAAGGGCTGCTCTGAGAAGCTGAAGCACAGCCTCTGGTTTCAACAGAACCACTCAATGATCAGCAAAAGAAAGCCAGTTAAGGGCCGGGGATTTAGCTCAGTGGTTCAGTGGCCTGCCTTGCAAGTGCAAGGACCCAAGTTCAATCCCTGGTACCAAAAAAAAAAGCAAGCCAGTTAAGCAATGACCACACAAAGACACATAAACTGTAAAGTGCTATGGACGGAAGTACAAGGGTCAGAGAAAGTAGACAGAAACAAGAGGGGGAGACAACTAGGGGTGGGGGTAGTATAGGTCAGGTTAAGACATCTGACCAGGAATGAGCCAGGGAAGGAGTAGTCTACTTAGACCATCACATCCTGGCCTATAAGCTCTTGTGCCATGGTTCCAGCCCCACTCCTTCCACACCATTCTACCCATAGCAATTTTCTGTAGGCAGGGCCTCACTACGTAGTTCAGGCTGGCCTCACACTGATGGTGATCCTCCTGCCTCAGCCTCCCAATCTCTGGGATTAGTACAGGTCTAATCCCACATAGCTGGCCTACTTGTGGTAATCTTCTCTCTTTATCTCCTCCGGATTTCTCTGGCTTTTATGCTCTTGTCTGTGGCCTTTCAGCACTTGGGAAACTCATACTAGTTAGTGCTAAATGTCCCTACTGCTAAGTTTGCTCTTCCCATGCAGATAAAACTGCACTCAGAGGGCATCCGGCCAGACTCAAGCACCACGGAGCTTCTCTGCTCCCAATTCAAAACAACATCATCCAGCCCAGGAGCCTGACAAGCTTTGTTGGAGCTTATCAGACCCTGATAACACTCTTCTGTGTTGTAGTTATTAAAAACTACTCATCTGAACAAACCCCTCAGGAATCCTCTTATCAAAAGAGGGTATTTATATCTGTGGCGAACCAACCCCTAACCCTCAAGAATGAATACACAAATGTGAGTGCAGGCTATTTTCTGACAGCACTTGATTATGAAATGTTCCAAAGCAAGAGCACTATTATTATATGTACAACATCTGTTCACAAGACTATAAGCTCTTTAAGGGCAGAAACCAAATCTGAATTCTTTTTTTTTTATTTGGTACCGGGGATCAAACTCAGGTCCTTGCGCTTGCTTGCAAGGCAGGTGGCGGAACCACTGAACTAAAATCTTAATTCTTCAGTTAAACTTCTTAAATATACAAAGGATATAACATAAGGTAGCCAAAGCAAGTATGCAGGCAGCTTTTGCTTTCACCCACACTTTCCATACGTGGAACCCATACCCTCCTCTTCCTGGGGAATCTAGCTTTATACTCACTGTAGATGGGGACCTGGTGAACTGTCATGGTCTCATCTTTGTATTCTGGTGCAGAGTGGGGCCGTACAGCTACAGGAAAGTCACAAGTCAGGAAAGTCACTGCATTAGTACAGACACGTGAAAATGAACTTTCAAGATAACCAACCAAGAGTAACTGCTCTTGCTTCAGAAATTTGGTGGAAATCTACCACTAAAACCAGAATTTTTGAGCAGATTAACATGTAGGAAAAAATTCACGCCTGTAATCCCAGCACTTGGGAGGCTGAGGCAGGAGGATCGCTGTGAGTTTGCGACCAGCCTGGGCTACATAGTGAGTTCCACTTCAGTCTCAACTACGTAGTGAGACCCTGTCTTTAAAAAAAAAAAAAAGGAATGTGAAACATTTAGGAAAAAACAAAACTGTATTTTTAAAATTTATATTTACCACAGTCATATAGAAAGGCATGCTCATGGCTGAGAATCCTTTTTTAAAAAAGAAAATATAGAAAGAAACAAATACCATAGAGTAAGCTTCCAACTTAATATTTGAGTCTGAATTTACAGATACAAACAGACCTCACATTTGCTTTTGTATTTTTTTATGCTTTACACTGTATATTTGTGTCAAAGATGTGGAAGACTCACTTTATCAGATTTACAAATCCAACTTATGAATGTTCTCCTGGAATAGAATTCATTTGTAAATTGGAAACGTACTGCACTCCAATTTAAGAGCTCTGAGTTAACAGGATTAAGAAACCAAACGATCTATCATCTCAAGTATTTGAGCTGGTTTACATTCCGAAATAAGGTATTTGTGATTTTATAAAAGATATTTGTGATTTTGGCGTTAACAAGCCAAAGATGCACACTATCAGCAACCTCAGTTAAAACTCTTCCCACAAGCGGCTGTGACCCTTCAGCACAGGGGACAGCTTATTTAGCTACAGAGCAGGCCACAAAACCTTCACCCTCTCTCTTCCTCCTGCGGAGAACTCAAAGCATCAAGACCACTTCTTGGGCTGGGGAAGTAGCCTCAGGACCTGGGTAGATGCTGTTACACCTTTGGTACACCTGCAGACATGCATGAGTTGTGTTTTTTTAAACTTTATTTTAATGTAATCAAGTAGATATTAACAAAATATACAAAGCACTCTGATATAAAAAAATCAGACAAAATTTCCTAAGAATTAGAAAATAACAACTGTAACATGTTCTTGACTTGTCTAGTCAATAATTCTATGGCACAGGCAGTGACACAAAGTATTTTAAAATCTATTTCAGGGTCCAGGGATTTAGCTCAGTGGTTTTGCTGTTTGCCTCCCTAGCACAAGAACCTGAGTTCGATCCCTGATACCAAAAAAAAAAAAAAATCCATGTCATTGATGATGAAGCACTTGAGCACTTGATTTTAAGGTCTGATCTAAGTGAACTGTGCTTTGTTTTGTGATTCTGGGGACTGAGCCCAGGGGTACTCTACATTCAGCAAATTCCCTAGCCCTTTTTATGTTTTTATTTTGAGGCAAGGTCTCTCTAAACTCCCCTTGAACTTATTATCCTCCTGTCTCAGCCTCACAAGTAGATGGGATTACAGGCATGTACCATCTTAAGGGAAATTTTAGTAGACTCTTAACTGAAAAAAAAAAAAGCAGGGTGAATATGAGAAAGAAATATTAAATAATGAATCACAATCAAAGACATACCCAGATCTATTCCTTTCAATGGACCAGAAAATATTTTGATTGCTTCCAAGTACTTTTCCTAAAAAATATAAAGTGAATATTTATAGTTCAACAACTATAGAACACAGCAATGTATTCAAATATGTAAGTGGTGTCAGATTATCAACAGAAAAAAAAAACTTTAATAAGCATTTTGAACCTCTTCTATACAAATAGTTACATATGTAGATGCCAAGGCAGCTCTGCAAAGGAGATGAATCCAAGGGAGGAGATAAAATTGAAACAAATGGTAACACAAACAACTTAGTGGCAATTATAGTAAGTGGCCTGCAAGAAAAAGAAAAAACACAAGGGTCTGGGACCAACTTTTCTGACAACAAGGATAGCTGCTGAGGGACTCTTGGCTGGTGCCTGAATGTTTAGTAGGGATAGTGGCTGGGATGACAGGTGGCAGGGCAACATCAGCCCTGTAGCTGCAGCTCGATGATAAATACAGAGGAAAATGTGGGCTGGGGCCAGGGCTTATGGGACTTGTAGACCATACCAAGTTATGTGGGTTGTATTACAATGGAGACATCCTGAAATGTTTCAGGTTGGGAAGTGACACAATGCATTTGTATCTTAAAGAGGGCACTCTGGCAGATGAATTACAGGGAACCGAGAACAGATGTGGAAAGCTACTGTGGCACACAGGTGTGGTAGAGGACGAAGGCCTCGAGGAGAGGGGGACAAATGGATGGATTTCAACAGTATTTTGGAAGCAGAACTAACAGGACCTGGGGACTGGTATGAAGATGTCTCATATTTAATAATAAGAACAAAAAAACTATCATTTATCATGTACTAAGCCACCAAACATCTAATAAAACTAGTGCTTTACTTGTGTTATTTCATTTAATGTTTAACAACTTTACAAAACATTACAGTATAGCCATTTTATAGATGAAGAAACCAACGCTCAGAGAGACAAAATAACTCATTCAAGATCATACAGTTGATTAGATTCTGAACTCAGGTCTATTTCACTTGAAAGGTGAAGTGTTTACTAACAGTAAAGGACAAAAGACTGTCGGCAAAAAGGAGAATTCGTGTTATTTACATTGAAAAAAAAAAGAGGAGTTACTTTTGATAGGTAATCAGGAAAGACTCACCAGTTGCGGAGGTCCAGAAAGTACACACTTTGGAACCCCAGTTTCTTTTAAAGTAAGAATCATTCCTAAAGAGAACAAATAAAATCAGCTTACTCATCAACTCAACTTAGAGTCCCTGCTAGGAACAGCCGCACTACTACTTCCTTATGTGTTTACTCATCTATGTCTTCATTCAGATTCACCTGGCGATGAATGCAAAGCAGAAGTGACGCTAACTAGGGGTGTATGGGACACAATGTCCTCCTCACAGGCTTCTGAAAGGGGCAGAGTTGATTGTCGGGTGAGGCAATGGGGCACCTGGTACGCAAAATGTAAGAAGCGGACTGCTTTACATTTTGTTTGCTAAGCACTTGACAACCACCACCTACCAGACAGCTCTCAAAACTGGGATCAGTCCATTGTTCCACTCCTTCCTACCCACATCTTTAAGCTTACAGAGTCTGACTGCCACACAATCTTAACCTTCCTAGCCGATGAACACGATTCACCCAGATGTACGCTTTCATCATCACCACTACACTCTCTCGTTTAAGCTCTGACACAGCAATCCAGGAGACCAAGTGGATAGTAACACTTGGACAAAATATTCGTGTTAAAATGTGATCCTCTGAGTCACAGCTTTTGATGCTTCGTACCGCAGCCGACTGGACTGGCACAAAAAGAATTCCAGCTCCCTGGGCTCAGGAGAGGGGCAAAATAAGGGCAGGGCACATTTAAAATCCCAGAAGCTTCCACCAGACTCTGACCCTCCAAAGAGCACACTCACCACACAATCCCCCAACATTACACCAGTGCATTCGTGTCAGGAATATGTTGTCCAAGCGAGCAACCTTCAGTCTACGAAAAAGAAAACATTTCAGCAGGATAAAATGGACTGACCACTGACCACTTCTGCTATAAAAACACACCTGCTCAAGCCCCATCATCATCTCCACCCCAAATACACATTGTTGACTCACTTGTGTTCCTGCATGAGTCGCTGGATGCCTTCTCCACAGTTGAAGAGATACCTGTCAAGAGGAACACAATACTAAGACTCTAATTTGTCAAACCTCTGACATCAGACAGATAAGATGCTTTCCTGTATTCTCTGAACCAAACAACTAAATATCAGTGTCGTACAACCCAGGCAGTGTTTCCATTAGGATGGCAGGTTTGGAAGTGTCCTTGAAGAGACTACGGGCATGTATATATAAGCTGGGGGTGGGTGTGGAACCTTTCCCCCAAAGCTCACCAGACCTGTCTACCCCACACATCAACTATGAGGCACCTTTGTGGTGACGCTGCTCAGTCCAAGAGTAAGCCTGTGGCCCAAGAGCTAAGAAGAAAGAGGACGTTTAAGACTCCCGATCGAAGTTCTTCACAAATCCCCAGAAACCATACTACCAAGGGATATGAGCAGTCTAGGGTCCCCCACCCAGCAGCTCAGCAGAACCGCTGCAACAGTCAAACCCCACACGTGTGGAAGTGGGGAAAAAACGAAACCCGGGGAGACGCGCCATGTTCTGCAGCGGCACCGCACCGAGGGATGGGGCAGGGCTCGATAAGGGGACAACACAGAGGCCCATTAGGACTCCGAGGGTGGTACACTGACCGGTTGTATTCCGAGAAGACGTAGAGCGCGGCGCCTGCATCCCGGCCGCCCGCCGCCACTACCTGCAGGTACACGGTGTTCGGGCTCCCAAGCCCCGAGGACGAACCACGCTTCTCCCGCGCGCGCAAGTGTCGCAGCGGGTCCTTGGGCGGCCGCTGGCGACGGGCAGGTCCTTGAGACATGGCGCACCTGCCAAAAGACCACAACAGCGAGCGAAGAGTCCACATGCGTTCGTCCCTAGATGGACTGAGAACACAGCTGATCACTAGTCAGCATGCCCCAAGCAGCCTCTCCGCTCCGCCTGGAAGGTCCAGCCAATCAGCGCGCCAAGAAACAGGCGGCCCGCCTACGCGAGGCTGTGCATCCAATTGAGAGGAGTCTTGCAGCGGGGCTTGTCAATCGGCGGCGGCCATAGAGTAGAGGAATGCTAGAGCGTCAGGGTTGGAGTCCTTGTCCCTTTCCGGCTTTCCTGTGTAGATTTTTTTTTACCCCGGAAACTGTTCTTTTCTTGGGACTGCACTTCCGCGAGCGGAGTGGGCGTGGGGGTGTGGGGCGGGGCGGGAGCGATACTGTCCTGTACTGGGAAGGGTGTGTTTCTTAAAAGATTAGAATTACGCTGTAAATTAAGTATTGTCACCTCCAGTTGTGAAGCCTGCCTTTGAGCAGGTCAGCGCCTCAAAATTTTGCTTTGTTATTTGTGGTGATTTTGAGGATTAAATGTGAGGAGATAGGGCATAGGAGGTCTGACCACTTTGTTTTGCGTTGTAATTGGTATCAGTGCATGTTTATAGATCTTAGTGGAGTTTGAGAAAAAAGCAAGAGTAGTTAGAGGTTAATACGCTCTGTCGCCAGGAAGGCTTGTGTCATTTATTAGCTGAGTATTTTGACCTCTCCTTGTCTCTAAAATGAGAATAATTGACAGGATTTACTTCAGAAGATATTTATAATTAAACCACCTAATAGATTGACAGCGATTTAAGCAGTACTGCTACAGAAGAGGCAATCAATAAATGTTGGTAAATGAAAAAAAAAAGTTTCAACCCACACAAAATGACTAAAACATGCTGAGGAGAGGCATCATCACAAGGTTGGATGTCCCAGCATGTGAATTTTGATTAGCAAAGACCTACCACACCCTTAAGTAGTTCATGAGGTTTCTCCCTAAGAGCTCAGTTAAAGGCCCTGGCAGATGCCCTTATGTGAGGGACATTATTTACCTAGAAGCTATACTGATTCTATGGAAGATTACTACCCATGTGTGAAAATATATTCTGTGCATGAATAACCATTTTAGTGAGGGTCAGGAAAACTACAAATTTACACCTTTAGAGTCCTTATGCACTGGAAAGATTATGATACTAGAATAAAGTCAATCCAGTCAAGCAGAATAACATTGATTTAGAGCTAATAAGGATTGCATTCTAGGAAAACACATTCCATCCATCTTAAAATCATGTGTAGAGGTTTTAACAAGATGGTGGCTGGATTTAGAGCTTTAAACTGAGAGGAAATGGGAAGTTACATCATTAGGAATTATGATTGGTGTTGGCAAAAGTTAGGCTCTTTTGTAAAAAGTGGGGCAGGGGAGACTGGGTGTGGTGGTCTCAGTCTTTACGTAGTTTTGGGTAAGAGTTCCCTTGTACAGAAGGTCAGCAGAGAATAACAGTGTTTTAAAGGTCAACTTGATACCAGGGTGGACCTAGCTACAGACCATTTCATAAGTTTAGCTGCACAGTATCTGTGATCTGATTAACAATAGCCTTCCTGAGGCAGGAGATTTAGGGTGGCAGGCTGGTGGGGGACAGAGGTATGACCTTTTAATTGCAGAATTCCAGGACATCTGTGAAGAACAGTTCCCCAAAGCCCTACACATGGACTTCTGAAAAGAATACAATCAGTTTTAGATCTGATATCAGCCTGAAGAGTGGGAGATATAAAAAAAGACAGTCACCACTGAGTCTCTGCTGAGTCTCTACTCAGACTCACCTCTGAGTCTTTCACAGTAGTTCTCACTCATGCTGTAGAGTGTACTTCTTTTTCTGCTTTTACTTGGCCCAAACTCAGTCTGCAGAGACTGTTTCTTTTCTTTAATCAGTGTAAAGCTGGGGGTTGGCAGGCTGAAGGGAGGCCCAGTCAGGCGAGGTTCCAAAGAAAAGAACATTCGTGGAGCAAACATCACAAGAAAGCAGGGACAAATTTTATTTTTCAGCACAGCACTTTCTTTTATCAGTTTACTAAGACATAGTGAACATTCTGGGTGACCTTGCAGGCTGTGTGCCACATGTGTGGTTGTCTATGCTAATTCATTGTTATATAATGAAGCCCCATGGTTCCTTTATTTATTTATTTATTTTTGGTGCCAGGAATCGAATTCAGGACCTTGCATTTGCCAGGCAAGTGCAGCGCCACTGAACTACATCACCAGCCAATGAAGCCCCATCATGCATCTGCACAAAATGATGGGATTGTGTTCTCAGGTGCCCTCAGACACCCTCAGATGTAAGACATATCTTACAGTGGCCCCCTACAAAAACTTTGGTACTTTTTGTGCTTGTATTCTCTGTTCAGGACAGAAGGAACCTAGAAACCACCTCTAGACGGAGATTTTGGAGCTCCCAAATCTGGTGACATTCCCATTCCATTTTAAGCACCTCCAACCAATGCCCATCCATTTTGATTTTTTTTCTTGACATGACCATCCCCATAAGTATTCAAAATGAAAAACAAATACTAACCTGTTGTTTAAAAGTGTCAGGAGTCCAATAAAAAACTGATTTTCCCCATCATGACTACTTTGATCCTTTGGGGGAGTTTTAAATATCTGATTCATACAGGAAATTTTGGTTGTGCCTTATCATTGGTGTCTTAGATACATATCTGTCAGGTAATTCCAAACTACTTATATTTTTAAAAATAAGACCCACTATTGATCATCTACAGAGCAGAATGAAGATATTATGCCACGCTTGGTAGATGAGCAGGTTATTTCTAGTGCCCGGTGTCCCTTTCTGCACTGATTTCTGGGATTGTACTTTTATTCTTGGCACATGAAAAGAAAAGCTGGGCCTTTATCAGTCTAATCATTTACAGGAATGTAAATTCCATAAGGATAACACTTTATCTGATCCTTTTCCATATCCTGGCTTATGATTTTACCAGACTTTGGAGTGAGGATCTTTACTTTGAACTAACCCTAGTCCTTTTAAAGTTGCTTTATTTTGATGCAGGATTGCACTTAGTGGCCCAGATTGGGCTCGAACTTTCAATCCTCCTGCCTCACTCTCCCAGAGTGCTAGGATAACATGTACACCACCATGTCTGGCTGGTGTTAACAGACTTTAAGGTTTATAACAATCTCTGCTCAACTGAAAGGCTTAGGAGATCAAAAAATAAAAGTAGAAGGAAAAAAGGTTTATTGAAATGGCTCTGTTAACAGGTCCTAAAAATGGCTTTCCAAATAATTTTGTCAGGTAGCTCCTTCTAGAAATAGCTTGCTAGATAAAATTACCAGATTTTGTGGTGCTCCAATCTTCTTCTGGAGTTGGTTCTCAGGTTCTTACCTTAAACAAATAATTTGACAAAACAAGTAAAAAAATGGCATCTAAGTTTATTTGGAAAGGTACAAGTGAGGAGTAAGGGAGAAACTGGCTCTGCAGAGTGAGCTTGGGCTGAAAAGTAGAGAAAAGATATGCTCTGGAGGACACAGGGAGAGCTATTGTGGAAATCACAATAGAAAACACTTCTTAGCCGGATGTGGTGGTGCACACCTGTAATCCCAGCACTTGGGAGGCTGAGGGCAGGAGGATCACTGTGAGTTCGAGACCAGCCTGTGCTACATAGTGAGTTCCAGGTCAGTCTCAACTACATAGTGAGACCCTGTCTCAAACAAAACAAAACAAAACAAAATGAAACGAAAAAACAAAAACAAAAAAAGAAAACTCTTCTTGGCATCTGTATCCTTTTATACTGTTCAAATTGGGAGGAAATCCACAAGCATTTCTACATACAGGTCCTTAGAGGTGGTGTTGGGAATCTCATGCTTCAGACTGTCAGTTCCAGGCCATCCTATTGAAAACCTGTTCAAAATTCCAGGAAGATGCCAGAGTGGTGAACATCAGGGAAACAGCCTCTCTGAGAGTGGGTGTACAGATGCTGGGATATAGCAAAGTGAGGAAGAGCAGGAGGGAAGTGGGTCCCTGGGACCCAGAAAGTATCTAAAGTGAGGACTAAAGCCCATAGATATAGGGAAAGGATAATGGGAGTTGCCAGTGTTGCCCTGCAGTGATCCTGGCCTCCTGCAAGTCATTACAATGTCAGCGAAATAGAAAATTGGGAATTAAAAGAAACACAGAGACAGAGACTTGAGAAAAACTGAGTCTTGGGCTGATCTAAGCTGATCTGGGCAGCAAAGACGGACAAACCCTCCCCCAGGATATCCAGTGTGTATTCATCACAAATGTGGGAAGGGGAGAAATTGGTAAGGCCCTGGGATGACTGCTGATAACAAGTATCAAGCAGGCAGGATGATAAAATGAGGACATATGCATATCGTTGCTGAAGAGAACAAATGGTTAATTCATAGGGGAAGAATTTAGTTGTAGTCAGTTGACTTTGATTGGAATGAACTCAGCCTAGCTCTGCTACTTCCAATGTAACACAGCTGAATTATGGAAGGGCAAGAAGCTTCTGCCCCTATAACCTGCTAATACTGGGCAGAGGTATCTGCTACACGTGGGGAGAGTGAAGAGAGAGACACCAATGAAGAAGAAGGAAGTGGCAAGTGGCACTTTCTCCCTGAACCCTGACTCACTGTGAGAAGGGCAGCTCAAACCTGCAGATGCACAGTGACTATTGGCGAGCCTAGAGGCCTCCACAGAGAAATGCACCAGTGGAACAGAGCAATAGATGCAGCAGACTGCAGTGGCTGATGAGTTTTGAGTTCAGACATCCCTCAGGAGAGAGCAATTAGCTGACAGCCATCTTGGTGAGGGGGTCAACTGACCACAGACACAGAGCGGCTGGGGGCTGAGGAAGGGTGAGGAAGAACCAAGTTCAAGTGGGCAGGAGGTCAAGGAACCAAGTTCAAGCCATTCAAGCAGGAGACACACAGAATATTTCAAGCTGAACAAATTCAATTCCAGCCTCTCAGGCAGAAATCCGCCTAAGCCTCAGAACTAAAGGTGCAGGCTTGCTGAGACTATCCACTACCCCACCATAAATTTATAGCTGGCTTATTGGGATTGATCAACAAGGATCTGGGCTCTGTGTGCCCAATGTCTACCAGTGACAAAAAAGACATACCTTGA